TGCGGGCTTTGTTCGGCATTGTCCGTGCCCACCTGAGCGCCGCCTTTCCGGGAAGTCGGCCACCGTGGCCACAGCACACCTGGTGCGCGCCAGTCTGCACTCCGTGCGCTCGGTGCCCGGCGAGCCGGAGGGGCACACGCAGGTGAGCGATAGGGGCTCTGCGTCGGTGGGCGGAGGTCAGGTCTGGCTCCCAGCCTTGGTGGCCGCGGAAGGGGACCGCGTTTTACATAAAGGCTTTGAGAACAAATCTGCCTCCACCACACACAAGTCGTGTGTAGGGGTTGCTGTGGCTCCCTGCGTGTTCTCCCTCAGAACCTCGCTCCTGGGTGATGGGAACGCTAGGGGATTTGTCTCGGAGGTGCCCCCATCTTCGAGGAGAAACTTCTGTCCCTCACCCATTCCCCCCTCGCGCCGGGTCTCTCCCCAGCACACCTGGCCCAGCCCTGCTTCCTGCGCTCTACCGCAGAGGCCCTGCCCCTGGCCACCTGCTGAGGTAGGAAAGCGGGCAGGTTAGAAGTCAGACTTGAAAACACTTGGTTTTAGAACGTTTTGCCTTTTCTAGCATGCCATATCATTGTAGTCATAGCTTGTGTAGCTTTTTCAGATTGGCTTTTCACTTTTATGCATTTTTAGTTTTACTCCTGGCATTTTAATGACATCAGAACGAGACAATCATTCATTGACTGATGACACTGGGGAAAAGCTACCGGTGAAAATGCCTTTTGTTAATTATGCTCTCTGTCCCGTGCGGGCACTTTGCAGTTACAAAGCATTTTCACTGTATCCCTAACACCTGGAAGTTAACTGGTTGCAAGGCAGATACTAATTTTTAGTTAAATGAAATTGTATGCAGCTATTTCCATGGAAGGTTCGGCAACACTCTGAGGTATTTAAGAATACCCTTCATATATTATGAATATACATTGATTCTAATTGGGAGGGCTGAAATAGAATTGCTAGTTTTTGTTTTATCCAAGGCTATTTTAAGGTAAACTCAGTACCTTATATGGCTAATGGAGGGCTCTGGGAGTGGACTCTGCCTCTCCATTCCCTGCAGCCTCTGGCTTCAGCAACATGGAAGCCAGCTCCCTGGGGCAGCTGAGTACATTTGAAGTCTGAACTTCTGTTTGCCCTTTCGTGTTCTGAACAGCTCCGTGCAGCTGGCTCCCCTTTTCTCCTCCACTGAAGAACTCCCCGCTGCAGTCCTGAGGATGATTGCTACCCTTCCTTTCCTACTCCCAAGTCTCTGCTCTTGATCTGTTTCCCTATTTCAAGTTAGGAGACTTTACCCTTGACTAGGGGACTTTTGTACTCAGCCTCACGGGATCCTGGCAACAACAGTCCGAATCAAAAGATGGGTGGGGCCGCCCCCCATTTCAGGGGAAAAGAACTTGAGAGACTGAAGTGAAGGAACTTTCCAGAAAGGCTCTTGGCCAGGTCTCCTGCCAGCTGGTTCCATCTGTGCACTGTGCCCTCTTGTCCTGGCCCCGAAGACCTGGGCTGGACTCCAGGTGTGCAGTCTGCTAGCTGTGTGGCCTTGAACCTCGCCTCCTCCAATGCTGTTTCTTCATCTGTGAAAATGGAAACTGTGACACGTACCCTATGGGGTCGTGAGTGAGGGCTGTTAAATGAGATTGTGTTCAATGTGATGATAATCTGTTGCCATCGTTCATTGAGGAAATGACCGACCACTTGGCAAGGACTCGCCCACTGTCTTGCTGTGGAACTGAGGTTCTCACCCTTCCGGAGGTGAAGGGACTGAGGCAGGGCATTGTTACTTGTGGACCAGGCTGTAATTCATTTTCCACTTTCAGTCGTGCATGTATTCTCCTGTACCTCAGACCCCGGGCCCCAAGTCCCAGCGCAGTGTACTTGGGTCCCGAACAACATAAAGCATTTTCAGATACCAGTCAAACATGAAGATTTGTCTGCAGATGTATCCTAGCAGGTCAGAGAGTGTGGGCCCTAGCCTGTGACTTACACCCAACCCAGGGGATCCAAAATGGCATATTGTCCAGTGGTGCTGACTTTTGGTTTTCCAACTGAAAATTTGCTGATTCTTTTAGGGGAAATCATGACCCTTCCTTAGGTGGTTCACTCCCTTGCTCACTCGCTCTTTCTTTTTCTTTTTTGCTTAATTTTTTGAGATGGGATTTCACAGTGTTGCTCAGGCTGGTCTTGAACTTGTAGGCTCAAATGATCCTCCTGCCTCAGCTTCCTGAGTAGCTAGAACTGGAAGCATGTAGCACCATGCTCAGCTCTCCCAGAAAGCTTTTAAAACATTCCATAGCTAGGCATGGCTTTGCATAACAGTAGTCACAGCTACTATGGGAGGCTGAGGCTGGAAGATGCCTTGAGCCCAAGAGTTTAGGACCAACCTGGACAACATAGTGAGGCCCTATCTCAAAACAAACAAAAACCCCACTCTTCCTAGCATATTAAAGTAGAAATGGGTTGTCCACTTTCCTTGGCTCTCTGGGCCTGAGCCAAATGTCTCACCAGTGGACAAGGGAGGTGATTATTACAGTGAAAGACAGCAAGAACTTCCCGGCCAAAGACTTTGACCTCCCTTTTCAGGCTTCCTCTTCAGGTAGTGCTGCCCTTGCAGGGGGCTCAGATTCCCATCCTGTTGATTTGGAGAAGGCTTCCAAGGGCTAATCTAACATTCAGGGTTGGAATTGCATTTTCTGAGGCAGTGGAAGTGGTTTTCTTTTTCACCCTACTCTCCATTTCCGATTGTTGAGGAGAAGGTGGGCATTGTAGGGCCGAGCTGCCTTCCGCTAACACAGATCCAACCCTTCTTCAAAAGCAGTCTTTTGGCTTTCGTTTCTCGCTGCGTCGTGGGAAATGCAATCTCCAACTCCTGCGCAGAGGAACATGTTTGTAGCACCCTGCGGCAAACCTCCCTCATCTGTCACAAATGATGCCTGCATATATGGAACCAGGATCCAAGGGCATCAGTCAGAAGACAAGATCGGGGTGGGAGCTGTGAGTCAGTGAGGAACCCACAAGTTGGGGATAACACATGGGCTTAGCATGAGTAATGGAACAGAAAGGAAGGAAGATGAGGATCCAGGTGTCTTGTAATGGAAAGGTTTGACCAGAGGCTCTGGAAATCTTCTCCCATCAAATGCTTCAGAGTGGGAGTTACTGGCAGGCATTAGCCGGTGGAAAACATCAGGGTGGCAGACGTTTAATTATGTGTCTGATCTCCGTTCCTGCTCCCAGCCCCTTTTCTTCTGCAGCCTGGACTTCTGCCAGAGTGTTGCCTTTGCCCCCAGCCTCAACATCTCTCCCTTGTTCAACCCTCTCCCAGAGTCTTTTCCCAGAATCCAAAAGGCGAGGGATTGAATAGATCACAGGGAGCCAGAGAGAAGTCTGTGCAGCTGTTGCGACATGGGCCAAAACACTTAAATTCCCCAGGCCTCAGTTTTCTTGTCTGTGAAATGGGGATAATATATCCTTACTGGCTAGCCGCAAGGATTGGGAAAGACACAAATGTATGAGGCCTGGTGCCAAGCATGCAGTAAATGCTCACTAGATGGTAGTAATTGATGTTTTACACTGGAATTCATCCCTGTAAAATCTATTGAGTAGGGTGGTGCAGACCTGCAGTTCCATCTACTTGAGAGGCTGAGACAGGAGACTCACTTGAACCCAGGAGTCTGAGGCCAGAGCCGGTGGCATAGTGAGAACCTGACTCAAATAAGCAAACAAAAAACTTCTCCAGATATGGGGCAGGATTTTCAATGCCAAATTAGCATTGTAAGAAAGTTTTGATTATGCGTTGAGAAGAAAATATTCGGTGTTTGAGATGATTGGGTGGTAAGAATGCAAATAATACTTTGCTGGCATCGAAATAGCATTTCTTTTATCTGGGTATAAAATGGAACTTGGCACAGAGATTTGCCCGGAAGGATCCCTCCAGTCTTTTATGGTAGCCATCACTATCACAGTGTTTTGTTGACCCTGCAAGTCTGCCTTGCCTTTGCAAAAGACACCAGGCACAAGGGACTAAGACTCGGTCCCTAGTCTTAGGCATTTGCCACTTGACAATCAAGACAAGCATCATGGGACAGCTGTAGTGGGTTGTGAGGGGGGCGCTGGAGGGGGAGGTGCTGCTGAGCTTCCCAAGCTACCACCATCCGATCCAACACTTGAGAGGAAACATTTGACATGTTGCACCCATTTGCAGATTCCCAGCTTACGTTTTTATTTCAATGAGCAAAAATTTAGAAGATTTGAAATGCATTCCGCTGGCCAAGCAGAGGCACAGAACACAGCAAGATAACATTGCTTGGGTTTCTAGGTATGACATGGAAGGGAGGGCCTCTGTTTGCCGGAGTCTATGCACGAGGAAATTCTGTTCTCTTTTCCACTTTATCTTCTTCACAGGGAGCTATGGGAATCCTTGTTTTACAAATGATTAACAGGCCTGAACCTCAGGCTCCTGCCGGCACCCAGGGACAGAAGCTGTAAATGCCAGGTAGTCACTGTGAAGCCAAGGAATGGATAGCATTGAGAGGTCTTTCCCTCCGCCTGTGTCCCTGCCTGACTCCCCAGCAAGTGAGGGCCCCGTCCTGCACCGTGGTGAGGTATAAGGAAGCATGTACTTGGGCGAAAGGAAGTCTCAAGCAAGCCTTGCTGCCATGCGCCCAGGCTGGAAACTGGCAGGAAGCTCCTGAGCCCCTCAGCAGGCCAGCATCCTTCTGGGCCACCTTTCTTCTCCCTCAGATCATGCTGGGGTGCTCCTGCTGTCCTCCCTGTTAAACCTTGTCCATCTGTTTTTTCATTTAGGCTTGGTCAAGACTCTAGCCTCAGTCATCGGAAGCAGGGCAACTCTGCACAGAGACTCAGCCAGTTGGGATATTTGATTTAGTTTGTTTCAGAACTGTTTTTGAAATCCAGAGCGCTGGACTTAGCAACGTAAGGTCCAACTATCTAGGCCCATGACAGGTGGAGCAAATGGGCTTTTTAAAACCAGAATACGTCTTAGCAGCCTCTGGTCTGACCTCCTTGTTTTGCAATTGAGAAACTGCAGCCCCTTGCAAGGTCACAGGGCATCTGGTTGAGAACTAGGGTCCCTGGATTGGCATTCCAGGCTGTGCCACCGTGAGGCAGGTGTGGTTCCTGCCCAGGTAGTGTGTACAGATGGGCCAACTCGGGATGAGTGAATTTCTTCATGTCCTTGGTTGGGTCATTTTAAACTTTTCTGTAAATCAGAAGGAGCACCATTTCCTGGGTAACTTCAGTCTTCAGTGCAACTGTCGCTCTCTGCCTGTTCCACCAGTTTTCTGAATGGGGAGACATCCTGCAGAGGTGCTGGAGCCCTCAAGCAAGTGAAGGATTCACTTTAGTGCAGCTTACATTGAGGGCACTTTGTGAGCTGCTGGAGATGACCAGGCATCTTCTGCTTGTGTCTTGGAGAACTTAATGTTCCTCGGTGGAGGTGGGACCCCCAAAGGCAGCGACATACACGAAAACTTGGTGCTCCTGTTTTCTGAGGAGATGGAATCATTGCTGACTTAGGTGTGAAAGGGGATTTTTAGATTCGGGTACCTCAATTTGAAATGAGTTTCCCTTAGAAGCTGCACTCTTGTGGTAGGTTAGGGATTGACCACTTTTCCTCTTGGTCTGGTCTGTAGAAGCTGGGACTCTCCTGGAATCTTTCAGTATTTACCTCTCCATGGGTTTTTTCTTCTGCGAATGAGCTCCTGAAAGAATGTCAGTTATTTATTTGATGGAAGGAAAATTTAGGAAGACATGCAAGGGGCATTGCCACACTCTTCTCAAGTCTTTTTAAATAGGCAGAGATGGCCTTTGAATGGGATTCCAAGAGGGCAAAATCTGGAATTTCTAAAACCTATTAACATATTCTTAGGTTTTTCTTGGTAAATTGTACTGGCAAGAAGTGTCTTAATTTTTACTCTGCCTCACTTCTTTCTGTCCTTACATATTGGCTTGCTTCAAACTGAGACTGCCTGAATTGTACATTATACCTGTGAGCATACCTGGGCCTCACAGCTAAAATTAGAAATAAGCTCCAGGTATTTCTTTTAAAAATCAAAGTTACTTCTGTCTCACTGGTCTGTCCTTTATTAGCAGCTTCTGCCTTTTAATGCATTCCTTAAATGTGATCAGTAACGAGGGTCCATGGATTGAATTTTACTTACATGAGAAGGATCTTCAGGTTGTTATAATTACTATGTCAAGGAGGGGCCTCCACCATCCTGCTTGTGGCCTGGAAAAAGACAGGTAGTTGTCATCTTTGCCATTGAGATTTGGGCAGCTCACAGGACTAATTGCTGATGCATTTTTTCCTCTGTCTGGCCCTGTAGCTCTCTATCAACATGCCCTCTTTCCTGTTGCTGGGAGCCCTGTGCACCTTCCTGTTTTCCAGAGGTAAGAGTTTTTTGGTGGGGAGTGAAGTATTTGGGGTGTGGTTTGCTTCAAATCCTGTTAACTTTTTTTTTTTGAGCTATATCCCCAACACCTTTTTGTATTTTTGAGATGAGATCTTAGTTGCCCAGGCTGAGCTCAAACTTGGAATCTTCCTGTCTCAGCTTCCCAGCGTGCAGGGATTACAGGCAGCCACTGAGCCCTTCTGCCAGGGTCCAACTGGTCCTCTTCCAGACCATTCTCCATGCAGCCACTGCCAGATGCAAATCTGATCATCTTGACTCTTATGCACCCCCACTGCATGCTTCTAAGTGACTTTCTGTTCCAGTCCTATCTCATGGCCATCTTGAGTCCCCAGTGGTACCTGCTCTGCCCTTTGTATGGCAGCTCCTGCTCTTCTAGTCCTGCCTGGTACCTTTGCTCCCTACCTTCAAAGAGAACCCCATATTGCTGTATTGGTGTTCCTTGTAATCATAAAATCCATGAACCCTACTCACAGTGAGATGGGATTCCTCCTCCTGGTTCCTTCTTGATCTCTTTCCATAGCCTCTTAAACTCTCATTCCCTCATCTAGCCCTGCCCTTGCCTGCTGCTGAGCTCGGCCACCCCACCTTGTTTCCTCTGTGCTTGCTCTGGGTCATTGGCATCAACTTAGCATCCACAGGTGGACTTGTGCCCCTTGATGCCCAACATTTACAGAGGGGCTGGCTTTTCCAAACACCTCCCCAAGGTTACCTGTTCTCCATGCCTCAGGCCATGCGCCGCCAGCAATTCCTTGTTGCTAGCCTGTTACCCCTGCCTTGGAAGTGTATTTTTCACTTTTATTTAAATTTTTTGTGTGTGTTGGGGGTTAAACCTAGGGCCTTGCACCAGCTAGGCAAGCACTTTGCCACTGTGCTGTCTCCTAGACCTAACATCTTTTGTTTGAATTGTTACTCATTGCTGATATACCATGAGTACTATTATTATTTTATTGCTCATATATCATTATTTATAATTTTATAATTTTTCATGTGGTATCAGAATGTGCAATGTATCCACGGGCTTCCTACTTGTCTTAGTGACTTTCCTTGTCCCCGAGAAACAATACCTGACACCCACAACTTAAAGAAAGAGAAGTTCATTTTGGCTCACATTTTAGCACATAGTTGGCTGGCTCCAAGGCAGGACAGCATGGCACAGGGGCATAGCAGAGGAGTAGCTGCTCACTTCATGGCATCCAGGAAGCAGAGCGCGTAAAGGGAGGAAGTAGGCAGGGAGAGCTAGCCCAGCTCACACCCCCTCCATCTGCTTCTTCTACCCAGGGCCAGCCTCCTAATATAATGTCTGGCTGTAATGCCCCATCGCCTTTCGAAAGCCACACTTGTGAGCCCATGAGGCTTTGGTGGAGGGGGCCTCTAGATCTAAACCGTAGCTCCTACTCCAAAACATGTGGCTCTTCTATTAATTGCATTGAACAGGTGCATCAGCATTTACTCAATTCCTTTCTGTTTATCTCGAGCATTTCTCTAGCACAAGGCACCCTGAAGAGGCTGGCCTTAATCCATAATTTACCTTCTCTAGAATTACTTTTGCTTCAGATCCATTTTCAGTTGTGATATAGGGTCCAAGGAGGTGATCATTTTTATGACTTAATTCAATGTTAAAAATATATGTTAAAATATATTAAATGTTAAAAATATATTAATGAAAGATAGATTGACACTAATCCTCTTCAAAATACTCCTCCTCCCGTCAGCAAATAATGATCGTTTAAACTTCTTCCCTTCCTGTCTTTATTGCTTTAATTTCTTTCTCTTGTCTAATTGCTATGGCTAATGTTTCCAGAGCTATATCGAAGAGGAGTGGTGACAGTGGGCATCCTTGTCTTGTTCCTCATTTTAATGTGAAGGTTTTCAGTTTTTGGCCATTTAATATGATGTTGGCTGTTGGTTTTTCATAGATAGCCTTTATTAAGTTCAGGTATAGACCATCTATTCCAATTTTTTGCAGGGTTTTTATCTTGAATGGGTGCTGAATTTTTTAATGCTTTTTCTGCATCTATCGAGAGGATCATGTGGTTTTTGTCCCTGACTCTGTTAATATAGTGTATTGCATGTATTGACTTATGTATGTTGAACCATCCTAGCTTCCCTCATTGTTCTTGTCCCTTTTTGAGTAATTCTGGAAATCTTTTGTGAATATCTTTGTAAAGTACGATAAAAAATACAGTAAATGCTTCTGCCAAGAGCCATCCCATGGAAAGGCAGGCTTGTAAAAACATTATGGTATGTTGGCACCCACCTTAGTCACTGGATCTGGCACCTTGTGACTTCTGGCTCTTCCCCAAAGTCAAAACGACCATGAAAGGTAAACACTTTGAATCCGTTCAGGACACTAAGCTAGCTACAACAGCACAACTAAAGATACACTTAAGTTTTCACATTTAAAATGGCATATCTCGTGGTTTGAGCTCAAGCATTCTGTTACATTCCCCCAGTGCTTTTCTGTGAATCTGTTTCTTCTGTGAATTGCCTGTTCATATGCAAGGTGGATTTTTATAGCGGATGTTTTTGGTGAGGGGCTTACAAGGGTGTACATAGCTCCATCCTTGTACAGGCAGAGCATCCCACCAGTGGAGGACACAGTTATAACAACTAATTAGGGACAAGAGTCTAGAATTATAGGCTCTCCTTAGCTCCCTATATGTTTGCTTTGTTTTCCTTTTTCAGAGATGGTATTGAACCCAGGTTGTCACTCATGCTAGGTAAATGCTCTACCACTACTAAGGTACCACCTGAGCCCCTTCCATGTGGGTATAATCTTTGTCTTCAACATTTCCAAATCTGATTTCAAAGATACCTCATAGAAGTTGGGTAAGAGGGATGTTTCTTTGTGCTGTCATTGTGGCAATCTTTGAAGTACAAATATCACTGGGCTTCTCCACATTTCTGTTTTCTGCGCTGCCGGCACCTGATTCTGGTCACATAACACAGAGGTAAAGATTCCTCTCTGTTCCACCTTGTCATGACTGCTTCTGGTGTCTTCTCTCCTAGTGCCCCCATCCCTCCCTCTTCAGGAAGTCCATGTGAGCAGGGAGACCATTGGGAAGATTGCAGCTGCCAGTAAAAGTAAGTAACTTTTACTTATCCTTCCAGACACCCATTCAGACGCCTGGGAGATAGACCCGGAGGAGCCCATGTTACTTCTATGAGCTTCCACCCCATTCCCAGCTTCCTGCCTTCTGTCACCACTTTCACCTTCATCAAACAGGGGTCTCACCAGAATACTCTGCTGGTAACAACCCCTCTACGCCCCCCGCCCCCACCATCTTGGTATTGAGGATTTAACCTAGGGCCTTCACAGTAAACTGTGTCTCCAACCCTTTTTAAGTTTTTTTTTCAAATTTGAGGTAGGGTCCCACTGAGTCACTAAGTGCCCAGGCTGGTCTTGAACTTGCTGTATTCCTGCCTCTACCTCCCAGAATGCTAGAATTACAGGCATGCACCACCATACCCATTCTCTGTAAATCTTTTCTCCTAAATTTCATGGCCTGCACCTCAAGGCCCTCTGCTACCTGACTATTGTCCACCAGCCACGTCATCTCCCACAATAATTCTCTTCTTCCTTTCTAGTCAGCATCCCTCCATGTGCTCAAGCCACATCAGCATTCCCACACATTGTGCCCATTCCTTCCTCTTTGGAGAAAAACCTTCATCATCTCACAGCTCCAGTGAGGCCCTCTGGGCGCCATGCTTCTCTGGCTACTGCTCCCTTCCTGCCTCCTGGGAAGGTCGGGGAGTCAGAACACTCTGAGTTAGATTTCCAGCTCCACCACTTTCGGGTACCTTGGCCCTAGGGAAGTTACTGACCCACTCTGTGTTCTGCTTTCCTCATCTGTCCAGGCGAGCGAAAAATAGCAAATCTCCTTAGGATTCAGGTGAGTATTTCAATGGCAGGTGTTGGTCAGCTTTTCATTGCTGTTACCAGATACCTGAGGAGAACAACTTAAAGGAGGGCACGTTTATTTTGGCTCATGACTTCAGAGTTTCAGTCCATGGATGCTTGGCTCTGTTGCTTCTGGGTCCATGGTGAGGCAGAATCAGGGCAGGGAGCATGTGGTGGGGCACAGCAGCTAACCTCATGGAGGCTAGGAGGCAGAGAGGGGGAAAGAGAGATGACGAGGCCAGAACAAGATACAATCCCCAAGCTCACACCCTCAGTGGTCCATTCCCTTCAATTAACCCATCACCTCCCGAAATCATCAATGTCATCAGTTTATGATCTCTTCAGTGGATTAATCCACAGATGAAGTTAAAAGCCATCAAGGTCCGATCACTCCTTTAGCCCTACCCCCTCACATTACTGCATTGGGGATCAAGCCCTCTTTGGAGGATGCATCATAATTAAACCACAACAGGATTGGTAATTGCTAAGAGGTTCACCGTTCTCTTTGAGATGATGCAAAATGTTCTCCAGTTGACTGTGGTAATCAGGGCGTGCATACGTGAACATACTAAAAAAACTGAACTTGCCAAGTGTGGGGGTACGTACTTGTAATCCCAGCACTCCAGGAGACTGAGGCAAGACGATTGCAAGCTGGAGCCCAATCTGGGCAACTTCTCTGCTTAGCAAGACCCTGCCTCAAATTAAAACATTAACAAAGGGCTGGGGTGTGGGTGAATGCAAAGGCCCTGCGTCCCATCCTCAGTACCTCAAAAGCAGACAAAAACATTGACTGTACATTCGGGTGGGGGAGCTTGGTGGTATGGGAGTGATTTTCAAAGAAGTGAAAAAGCAGTAACTGGTCTCAGTGTGGCTGTGAGTTAAATCAGTGCATCTAGACCGTCTTGGGTGGCACTAGAGTGGAGGAAATGTGTATGCGGTGCTGGTGTTACGCTCGCTCCTTGGCTGTCTGGGTAGCAGGGCCTCATCAGGAGGCCTAGGTCCTGGACTAGGTGGGCTGGCCTAGGCCACCCTTCTCAAAGAGCTCAATTAGCATGGATGAACTTGGGGCTCCAAATGGGCTCCGGCATGAGTCTTTGCAACATGGAAGAATCTAGCTCACCCACACCTGTCTCACTCTTCCTAGTGATGTGGTGCTCAGCTGCCATGGACATCCTCTTCCTGTTGGATGGCTCTCACAGTGTTGGGAAAGGGAGCTTTGAAAGGTCCAAGCACTTTGCCATCACAGTCTGTGATGCTCTGGACATCAGTCCCGAGAAGGTGGGTATGTCTCTTCTATCCTTGTATTTGGGCATCTTTGTTTGCAAGTGACAAAAACCCAATTCTAAACAATGGAGAGGACTTACAGGCAGTGGAACTGGAAGTCCAAGGGGCAAATTCTAGTGTGGCAGCATACTTGGGGCCAGTGGATCCCCTCTTTTTCTCCCTTCTATTGTGCTTTTTTTATTTGACTTCCAGGCAGATTTTCCTCACATGGCAAAGATACCCTGCATTGTCCTTCAAGCTAGTGTTAGCAGGAAAAAGAAAGTGGATTCTTTCCTTGTAGATCTCAAAGAATTCCCAGGAGCATTCCAATTGGGCAGGCGTAGGTCACATGATAAGCCTTGGCCAATCACAGTAGCAGGAGAAGACCCTTTGGTCAGACCTGAGCCAAGAGTTCATACTTGTTTTGGGGCTAAAGAGGGTTCCCCATTGGAAACAGAGGCTATGTTTGCAGAACAGTAGGAAAGGTGACACATCGAGCAGAGTCTCAATACACTGCCCTTTCTGTTTCCTTGAAAAGATCCCCTCCTGACTGAGAATCCAGACAGCATCTTCATTTCTTACTCTTCCCAGCTTTAAATAGTAAGTCCTAAATATCAGCAGAGTATGGTATATATAGCTTTTGTTTTTAAAGGGGACAATTTTGAGCAACCCAACAGAAGAAGGGGCAAGGAACACTGACATTTCCCAGAAAGTGAAACCCAAATGGCCTGTGGGAACCTCCCTCAGAGCAACAGCCGACCTCCCACTGACAATGCCATTTTTGGGAAAAATTCGAAGTTTGCTGATCTGTGCCATTGGCAAATCCCTAAGAGACTGGTGTTCTCATCATACTGACAAAGGCTTGGACCCTCGGACCAAGCCATTCTACTGCTAGGGATTGATTCTACAGATACTCCCAACCATGCAAAATAACATCCACATAGTTATACAGTGCCTTACAGTGTTACTTGTAATTGTAGAAGATTTCAGGAAACCCAAATGTGCATCGATCGGGGCCCAGGTAAATCTGTTATGGTGACTTCATATAATGAATCATGGGGCAGCTGCTGAAAGTGAGTAAAAGACATCAGAGCAAATTAAATGTAAAAATTAAGGTTCAAATGGCCTGGAGAATATGTTACCTTTATGTGAAAATGAAGGGAAATGAATGAAATCTGTATTTGTTTGTGTTTGTATAGAGAAAGGGAAGGCTAAGGACAGTGGTTCCTATTGCAGAGAAGGAAGGGAGCTAAGCAGGTAAAATACAAGTCAAGAGGGGGACCTAGCAATATAGACTGTTTTATACTTTCTGGAGTTTGAACCATCTGAACTTACCCCAAAATTAAATACAAGATTAGGAAGGGCATTCTGGTCTGGAAAGCCGTAATTATTTGAATGAGAGACTAGGTACATATAGGTTGAGGAAGGAAGTGGTTTTCCAACGTGTCTTTCCTGAGTTAATCCTAGTAAAAACCTGTAGGGTTTAGGAACAAACATGGCTTTTAACGAGGGCCAGGTTTTCTCCAGGGTGGCCTGTCGTTTGGGGAGTGTGAGCACATTCCTCTAGGACGCCAGGAAATCTTGCAGTCATCTGCAGACACCACAGCAGACTTTATTCTGTCCAAGCACAAGCAGCCCAGAGGTTCTGACCGTGATCTAAACCAGCATGGCCATCAAAAGGGCCAGGGCAGAAGACTACTGAGTCTCTATCCTCTCCTGCACAGGGCTTTTCTTTTAAAGTGACTCCTAATGAAGTTTACTTGTGATTCCTGGATGACGTGGCAAAACATCAAATACTGTTTACCTTGGTATTAATGTAGTGTGTCCTGAAATGAGTGGTGTACAGACCCCAGAGGTTGGCAAGTTGGAAGAGAAGAGCTGTGTGAATTGCATGTTTTGCAGGGGAGGAGATGGCCTCGGGAAGAAACGCTAAATGACTGCTTAGGGTCACACAGCAGTGTCAGGCAGGGGCTAAGTGTGGAAGACTCAGAGCTCTTAATCCTCATCCCAGGACTTGCTCCGTTAAGGCCCCGAGTCACTCCTGGTAGATAACCTCTGAGCTAGGGTGAGGTACTGGCATTGGGAACTCACACCCTGCTCTCACAGAGCAAGTGGACAGCCAGCGGTGTGGCAGTGTGGAGGAAGGTTAATGGACTGTAAGAAAAATATGTTGGGTGTCTTTCTGATGCTGTTAGGAGCAGATGATCAGAGTTTAGGAAATTTAGCCCCAGTGTTGCTGGATCACATCTAGTGGCATTAAGCTCTAGGGCTGATTTTTAGGCTCGATATTGGCAAAATAGAGCTCATCACAGAGCCCGGATAGGGACACAGACCTCCATGTAGGAAGAACCCTGATTGTCATTTTCATGCAAAAGAGTGAAATATGGCTCTATTTTATTGAGAGGGGCAGAATCTGGGTGTTAATGGTTCGATTTGGGCTGAATTGCAGAAAGATTTTCTTGTATCAGGACATAGAGAGCAAAGGACATGAACAGACTCTTGGCTGCTGTAGCAGGGTTTGTGTGTTGGGGGAGCTTGAGATAGCTCAATCTGACCTGTGGCTTCAGACTTTATTTCTTGTGGTTCTGGAGATGGAACCCAGGATCCCCTGCGGAATCTGCTTCCCCAGCCCAAGGTTTTACGTTTTTACTGCTGCACTTTTGTGTCTCATTTTTGTTGTCTCCAGGTACAAAGGATTTGGTATGTACCTTGTTTTGCTTTCTGTAATTTTAGCCTTCAGGAAGGAAATTTTCAGGAGCTTTAATAAAGGTCTTTTATGGATGCTTTGTTGTTGAGGTGGATTGAAGGTGTTTGAAATCTTCCCCTTAACACTTAAAAGCTGAGAAGTTCACTTCCTGGCTCTAATAAAGGATTGCAGCAGAGATTGCATTGTGCTGAGAAATCTGGGCAGTCTTGCTTCTGAGCATACAGTAAACTGAAGATAAAAGGCAGCTATTTTGCTTCCAAACCACCAATTAAATTAAATGCCTTAACTACTGACTTAGGCTATTTCCTGCATGTTTTGTTTTGAAGTTGTGTCCTTCCTGTTTAACCCCAGTAAATAGACTCAGCTGTTGTTCTTAAGGGAGTTGTTGTTGTTGTTTTAAAGTAATTCATTCACGTGGTTCAATAAAAAGACACACAGTGAAAACATTCATCGGTATATTTTCCATTTGCCAGATCCCCTGCCTTTTTTCTTAAACAGCTTTCTAGAATTGCTTAATGCGGATACAAGCAATATGAGTGCACATTCTCATTTTCCCTTTTTAATAAAAAGGATAGCATGGTCTATACAGCGTTCTACCTCTTTTTACCATCACATTACCTTGGAAATCTGTCTGTACATAGGTATAACTTTTTTTCCCCCTACAGCTCATTACGTCCAATCATGAGCATTTATTGAGGTTTGCTAGCAACACCCCCTACTGGTGGATATTTGCTATTGCAAATTGTATACCGATGTAAATACATTGTTTTGCAGAAGTGTATCTGTAGGATAAATTTCTAAATACCGTGTGCATTTTAAATTTTTAATAAACATTGCCATATTGCCCTCCATGGATGCTACACAAATTAATATTCCTACCAGCAGTGTATGAGAACGCTTATTTCCTTTTGCCTTGCATCTGTTTTGTTTTGTTTTTGCTAAATTGACATGGAGAAATGATACCTTTTTATGAAGAGGTCAAACCTCTTTCCGATAAAGAGCCATTTGTATTTCTTGTTCAGCGATCTCTTTTCATGTTCCATTTTCTTTTCCTATCCCATAGCCTATCTTCTGTTGGGTTGTTGGTCTTTTATATATTAGTTCCTAGGCATTATTTTATATATTGAGGAAACAAACCTTTCATTCCCAACAATAGTTGCAAATAATTTTTCCGTCTTCATTTTTATTGTGTAAAGGTGTGTTTTGCTCTGTAGGAATTTTTAGTTTCTTTTTTTCTTCAGGTAAGTCAGATTATTTTTCTTCAGATAAGTCCTAGATTTCTTTAGGTAAAGTTAATCTTTATAGCTTCTGGATTTTAAGTTAAAGATCTTTTGCGCTTTCAGGTTAGAATGGAATTCTTCCAAGAATTCTTCTAGAATTTTCCTGGTTAGGTTTTTCACATTGAATCTTGGGTCCATTTGCAGTTTATCAGTAATGTACATACAACCGGTGGCTCTGTCACTTGCTTACTAGACCATCGTTTCCCTACTGCATGGAGATGCCTCTTTTTATCCACACACTAAATTCAAGGAAAATCTTGGAAGGGTTCTTGCTTGGGAACTTCTTCCTCACTTTGTCCACTGTTCGCTCTGTCTTCCAGTAATTATCTCCCCATGTGTCCACTCAAGACTTAAATTCCTTCCTACTTAAGGTGTTCCTGAGCTCCTCCTCAGGATGCCCTGCCCATTGAAGGTGGCTCAGAGGGCTGAGGGATTCAGCTCTTTGTCTCCCAAGCAGCAGACCTGTTAAAGGGTGGGGTATTCAAATAGGGAGCAAAAGGCCATGTGATTACTTAAATGTGAACCATGTGGCCTGGCCAAAAGTTTTGCCAGAACTTGTCTTAGTTACGCGAGTAGTTACTGAGAATGTAGTTTTCCTGAGGACTTGTAGTGCCGAGGATTAGGGGCAGGACTGGGCCCTCAAGAGGAAACCTGAATGTTTATAGCCTTCACTGCTTTAAGACACAGAATGACTTAGTTTCCCTTCTCCATTTTTGCAAGGCATAGTTTTCTCCCATGGCCTCTTTAATTAGGACTCAAAAATCTGTTCAGATTCACCAGAGCTCTCACTTCCATTGCTTATCTCAGTTTGGGGGTGCTGGTTTCCCTCAGTCTGACGCTGGTCTAGAGACCTGACCTTTCTCAGCTTGGCAGGAGCAAGCCTGGAAGAAATGATCCCCCAACAGAGGGCAAGAAAGGACAGGGAGCTGCTGGCAGCTGTAGCTGGTGATGAGTCAGCTGGAGTTGCTGCTGAGGATCCCAGCAGCTGGCCAGGGAGCTCTTTGCAGAAGGGCTGTGTTGACTTCTGAGAAGGCAGCAGTAGGGAATCTCAGAGAGCCCACAGTCTAATGTCCTGGCCCCTTTCTTGGAGGAAGCCCTTGCCTTGGGCCAGTTTTGTGTCCACTGCACATTTTAGCCTCTCCGCAGTAATGTAGGCATCAGTCCTGCCTCTGTGGATGAAATAAGATAATGTATGAGGTTGCACACAGGAATGCCTGGGCCAGTGTTGTACAGATGTTGGCCAGTGTGTACAGAGTTCTGCCCTAAAGCTGCTTGCAGCTCTGCTGAGAAAGTTTCCAGAATGTTCTGCCTTTGGGGGACGTGGGTGAAGATTATTTGGGGGCTGTCAGTACAGAACACAGGCAAATTGGACCATTTCTTTCCAGATTCTCCAGCTGGTAAGCTCTAGTCCTGCTATCTGCTGGATGGCCAGGGTTAACGACATTTCTCATCCCTTTCTCTTTGGAATGCTTATAATATGACTCCAGTTTTGGCCCTCTGGGGCCACTGTCTCCTTTTGCAGGTCAGAGTGGGAGCATTCCAGTTTGGCTCTACTCCTCATCTGGAATTCCCCTTGGATTCATTTTCAACCCGACAGGAAGTGAAGGCACAAATAAAGAGGATGGTTTTCAAGTATGTATGATTGGATCCTGCCACTGGTAGGATGAAGCCAGTGCTCTTAAAATCGTCCCTTTCAGGGAAGGGCAAGCCGTATGCTCAGCTTTACTGAGAGGACCATGGGCCACTCCCATGACCCCACTGTGCATAGTGGGTAGTGAGAACTTGCTTCTCAAGGCTACCCTTTATCATTACATAATGTTCCAGGTGGTAACTTAAATGCTAGTTTATAAAAAGAAAGGATTTGCTGCTATTGTATTGGTTCCTTGGAGAGAGAGCTTTTGAAGGTCCACACTAGCTATGTCCCCACCGGCTCGAACCACCTGTAATACACGCGTGACTGTCTCCTCGGCGACATGGAACAGTCCCTTAGGGGGGCACAAGCATCGCGAATGTGTTAAGAGCATGGGGCAGGAGAAGAGGGCTGGGTCAGAGTCCCAGTTCTAGCCGTGGTGACCTCTGCCACTTGCGTGGTTCACTGCACTTCTCGGAGCCTCATTTCTGTGATCTGAAAAGACCAAGTGTGGGTAGGCACTCTGTTACTGTGAGTGCTTAAAAACTTATGAATAGCTGTTTATGTGCTCAGTCATGTACCCACCCTATAAATACATGTACGCAGGGGCGTCTGGCCTCGACTCATATGACAGGTCAGCTGACAAATAGGTTATATGTCAACACTTTTAAAAGTGTGTCACCTTTGTGTGTTCATAAATACATATACATGGGTTTTAGTCATATGTGTATCATGTGCACGTAATTTATAGGTACAAGAATATTTATGCACGTGTCTATGTGCATTACATTATTTTCCTATTTCTGATTTCCTTATTTTTTGCCTTTTGGTTAGATTCTCATCTCACCAGGTATGTTTGTTCTTTTTTACTTATTAGCATTGTTGGCTTCATTGTTTTTTCTAGGTTAGCTTTAAGAATTTTTTGTACTGTTGGTTTAGTGGTCATAAAGTTCTTCTTTTTTCAGGGATTGAACTCAGGACTTTGTGCTTGCGAGGCAGGCAGTGGCACTACTGAGCTAAATCCCCAGCCTGATCATGAAGTTCTTTTTTCTTTTCATTAAGTTTATTGGTACGTTTAAGGTAAATAATACAGTTACGTCCATCACTGGGATCTTGTACCTTTACATGATGCATCTTGGTTCTTATTTTTTCCCCATTCCCCTGCCCTCCCTTCACCCCCTTCACCCTTCCCTATTTACAAAGATTTTGTTTTCATTTTTTTTCTTTTTTCTTTTCCCTTATTTCCTTTCCCCTACACTTCCCCTTCTCCTTTAGACATTTTCTTCCTATTTCACATTATCAGTTATACCATTTGAACCTTATGTACACTTTTAGTTTTTCACACCAGAGAAACTACTTGGTATTTAGTCAAGTGTGTCCTATGGTCATGAAATTCTTAAGTGGTTCCTTGTCATGAAAATACAGACACTGCTCATTTAATGATGTAGCTAAGTTCCTGCAACCAGGTCATTGAATGAATTGGTCACTAAATGAAGAATTATACCTATAGTAAAGTCTTGGATTGTGAATAATTTGATCTGTGAATGTTTTATAAGACAAGCAATGTTTCAAAGAAATTTTAACTTGATGAATGATGTCTTGCAATACGAGGGGTATGTTGTGCTGAACATTACATGATCACAACTGGTTCTCTTGCTGCTTTGATATACAAGTACTTTGTATCACCAGTCAAACAAATTATTCTCACAAAACAGTCTTACTGTAGTGTGTACATTATAATATTCAGAACAAAGCAATGCAGGAAACTCCATGAGTTTGCTTTTATTTGCATAACTATTACATGCATTACTATAATATATAACACAAAAGTACAGTACTGTACAATACAAACAGCAAAAGTTACAGTATGGTATAATAAACAAGATGCACTGTACTTAAAAGATATTGTGGCTCTATAAACACATGTACAGAACTATAAAAAAAAAAACAACAAGAGTTGTAATTCCAGGTGGCAGGTTGTAAGTCAGAATACCACACTTCAGTCATAAGTTCAAACAGTCATTAAACCAGCAGGTCATTAAACGAGGGATATCTGTACCTTATTTCTCCATCAATTTTAAAGGACGCTTTTGTAGGACACATAAGTCAAGGTTGGAAATTGTTATCTTTTAGGGCTTGAAGCACTTCACTCTGAGCCCTCCTGGCCTTTAAAGTTTGTGTAGAGAAGTCTGCTGAATTCTAAAGTGTTTAACCTTTGTAATGGTACCTCTGTTCATGAACTTAATTTGTTGCACAGCCCTGGGGATGATGGCCACATTTGTGTTTGTACAGGGAGGATGGCCATGGTCCTGATCACCCAATATGGAGTTTGCAAATGGGAGCGAAATTTTGCCAAATACTTCCATTTGTGAACCGAGGTCCCACTATATGTATGTGATTTGTTGTCTGTCTTTAACAGCTTTTAAGATTTTTGTCCCTGTTATGGACTTCCGTACTTTACGTATAATGTAATACAGAGAGGTTCTGTTCTGGTCATGGCTATTTGGGATTCTATATGCCTTATTTATATATTTTTTTATTTCTTTATATTTGGAAAGTTTTCTGACATTATTTCTGTGAAGAGGTTTTAAGTGGCATTTTTATTATCTTCTGATTTTTCACTTATTCCATTTATTCTTAGATTAATCTCCTTTGCATCATCTAGCACATGTTGGATCCATTTTCATGTTCTCTTATTGTTTTTGAGATGTCTTTGGGTGGTTCTTTGTTTTTTTGTTTTTGAGACAGTCTCACTATGTAGTCCCGGCTGGCCTTGAATTCACAATGTGTAGCCCCCAGTAGCCTCAAACTCTCAGTGATCCTCCTGCCTTAACCTCCCAAGAGCTGGGATGACAGTTGTGCACCACCATGCCTGGCTGTGGGTAGTTGTTTGTTGAAGGCATCATTAGTTCTAGTTCTAAAATTCTGTCCTCATACTGGTCAGTTCTGCTGCCCATATAGTCAGTATGACTTTTAATCTCCTGGACTTTTAATGGACTCTAATTATTTGGTAAACTAGTCATTCATGTTCCATATCATTTTGTTTTGCTTATCCATCTTTTTTTTAGTGTCTTCTGAAAGCTCCTGTATCTTTTTGGCTATTATTTCCGTTATCTGTTTAGTTATATCTTCTCTAATCCTGCTTGCCGAGTACCTCTGATCAGTTTTCTAACCTCCTCTGTTATGCTTTGCCTACTTTTTTGTTTGTTTGTTTGTTTGTTTGTTTTTCGAGACAGGGTCTCACTATGTAGTTGAGACTGACCTGGAACTCACTATGTAGCCCAGGCTGGTCTCAAACTCACAGTGATCCTCCTGCCTCAGCCTCCCGAGTGCTGGCATTACAGGTGTGCGCCACCATGCCCGGCTCCTTTTGCCTACTTTGGACGTGTGCCCCCTACTTGAAGTAGGAGAGTTGGGAGTTTTAGGTGGCATTTTGTTGCCTTCTCATATTTCTATTGTTTTTATTTGTTTGTTTTGTGCTGAAGTTTTTGGATGCTTACAATCCAAAGACTTCATTGCTAGTATAACAATCTCTAGTTGCTTTTCACTGATGTACTTTGGGCACTCCTAATTAAAATCCTATGCCATAGCCCCAAGATCTGACCGTGCTGGTTAATTTGGGAGGAGACGTTGCAGTGTAGTTAGCCCAGCAACTAAATTCGATGGGAATGGACTCTAGCATTGTTAATGAAACAAAGGTAATCTGAGTGTTGGTTTACAGGGAAGTAATGAGAATTGTATGACCCTGCTAATATCAATTGAATAAGCTACAGTAAGTATCATCCAAGGCAAATTAGAAATTAACATACTGTAAGAAGCAATCATTATCACTCTTAATCCTAGAGAAGATATCTGCAACTAAGGTGTAAACATTGAGACAACCCAGGTATCAACTTATAGCTAATATATACTAAATGGAATAGCCATGTCTCTGCTAATGGTAGGAAAGAATTCAACAGTAATTTTACAGAGTTAATGATCAAAAGATTAACAAAGCTTTATATAGGGTTGGGAAGAGGGGGATGTAAGAGGAAAACTTTCTGAAACCTAAAACTCTATGATTTGAGGAGGAAAGAGAAGTGGTACAAAAGATCCTATTGGGGAGTAGAAGGAAGGGTGTTTATAGAATTATATAAAGATAAGAGAAAAAGCTGATGAGAAATAGAAGATAGAAAAAGAGAAAAACTATATAGAAAATAAAAATTAGGGAGAAAAATTGAAAGAAAAATAAAAAACATAAGATAAAAAGATGAGAGGCAAGGATAAAGGACAAATGAAAATTCCCAAGCCTCAGTAAATTGGTGAAAAAGAAAGGAAAGAAAGAAAAAAGAGAAAATAAAGAAAAAAATTAAACCCACAATTCTCTGTGATTTTGAATGTGTGGTTTTCTTCAGTGATCTACAGTTTTGCAGCAGTGTCTGATTCAAGACCTGTCCCTGCTCACAATGGTAGGTGAAGAAGGCATTCAGCCCCTGGATCCATGCTGGATGCAGTCACCACAGGCAGTAGCGTTAGAACAAGGGCTTCACTTCTGCAACTTTCAAATCCAGAGTGATTCAAGCTGAGCCCGACCGCTGGCTGTGAAAGTGGGCCTGAGTTGTTCAGCTTAAACTCCTCAAGGTCTGACGGTGTCTCCCTGGCCACTACTGTCTCCTGTGGCTGTGCCTCACCCTGTCACTGTGGGAACGTAGTGCATACTGGGAGTCCTGAAGTGCAGCCAGCCCCTCCCCGGAATCTTGTCTGACCAGGCACTCTCTCCCAGGGATGTGGTGGGGCGTTCTGGCTGGAATCTCTCACCAGTGTTCAGTTCACAGCACCTGCCAGTCTGTTCACTGCTGCATCTCTGGGAGCTCTCTGCAGCGCCCGCCCCCCCCCACTTTGTGTAGATTTGGTTGTCCTTTCTCATAAGCCACAAGCTGGGTGCTGGGGAGAGGGTGCAGATTGTCCTTTCCTTTTTCCACATTGTATTGTTTCTTCAGTTTCTCTGTAGGCTCCAGTTTTC